AGAATGTTCATCTTCCTTTTGGAAGAAAATCATGTTCATTTGATCGGACAAGGAAACCATTTCTGCACAAATGCCTTCTACGAGGCTCGTCCTTAAAGTAAGTTTCCCTGGGGCCGTTTACAGAAACAAAACACAATTTCATGGAAATATTTATTGCAACAGATACAGCAAGTGTCCAGCTATTTTTCAACATATTCGCCACCGGAATTGAGACATTTGTCATACCGTGGGACCAACTTTTGAATACCTGGGTCGTAGAAGTCTGCCGCCTGGGATTGGAACCACTGTGTGACAACCATCTCCGCCTCTCTGTCATTCTCAAAACGCTGACGCTGACGCTGACCGGACAGGAATTTCTTGAGGTGTAGGAAAAGATGGAAATCACTGGGAGCGAGGTCCGGGCTGTAGGGTGAATGATTAAACACCTCCCAGCTGAACTTCTGCAGGAGACTTGCTGTCCGTCGAGCCGTGTGCGGCTTAGCGTTATCACTGACCGCACTTCACAGTCGGCGGGGGCTGGAATAAGAACCTCCATCTTCAACAGCTGCAACGATGCTACTGTGAGAACGCGGGAGGTGCCGTTAGTGCATGCGCCATGCTACGTCATTGCTCTATCACGTACGCACAGTCGCTTCGCGCAATATAAGGTTTGCTAGCTGTGGGACGAGTGGGAAACTTACTTTGAGGACGCGCCTCGTAATTCCGTATTTTTTCTTTGTTTATTTCACACCTTATTGGGATATTTGCTCTGTTAGCAACTTTGTTATACTTCTGATCTTGTTTTCTGATAATTGTGTGTTTCTTTCATCTATCTAAAGATTTAAACGAATGATAATGGAAATCAGCATAATTCAGTTTCAATCGGATAATATTAAAACAGAGCTTCACAACGGGACGTCTTGGTTTCAGATCTTGTCCCGTATACTACCTATCCTGTTTTAGGTCTTTCGTTAGTTTATTCGGTTCCTGTAGTACCATAAATTAAGTCACGACTGATTGTTTCTACCATTTAAAATTCGTTGTTCATCAGTAATCTTATCATTCAGCGCTAGTTTTAGTCACTGAAAGCGTCGTTAAATAAGCAATAATTATGGCAGTAAGTGTGAATTGTCACTTATATCTTTCATGGGTTTGTATGTGTGGGATATGTTGTGAATTGATTATAAAATTTGTCTCTTCGCAATTAGGTTTACGTATTAATCTTTTTTAAATTTTTGAAGTTGCGTAATTTGCTTCCAAATTCGTTTTATGGTTTCATATTTTTGAGATTTGACAAGAACAGAACTTGTGAAAATTTCGACGTCAGCGCTTGTGACGATTCGAAACAGCGATCCTATATTACTGCAGTGTAATTAGTGTAATGTAGGTCTGATTTTAGGTTTTAGGTTTTCGGGTTCCAAATTTCGTTTCTTTCCTTATTGCCCCATTTTAATGTGGAATTCGTCGGTTTTGAAGCAAGATCAAAACTCCTCTGTCTACTGACATACATTCCAATCACCCCAACGAAATAAAAGCAGAAGTTGTATTATCGTCAGGGCAGTTTTGTTAGTGAATTTATCAGCACGGAATGTTATATAACTGCATATTTGCAGTTTGTATCAAGTTTAGTCATTTAGAAGAAGATGGTATCATGCAGACGTTAGGTCAGGATTTTATGAAATGATAACAAAGAAAACAGATAAACTCCACCATTTCAATGTTTTCTGTAGGAGGAGGGTAGAGATACTATTTGATTTTGTTCGTGAGGGTATGGTGTGGGGGAGGGGGGGGTTCCACGAAACAACATGGGCTATAGTCTAAAGGGAATGTACGAAAAGGGGTCATTTAGATAAAAATATTGCGGGGTTGAGCCCCTGCTGTTGTATCAGAAGCCATTGTCAACATTTTGACCCAAAGTAAATTTTTGCAATACTGTTGTTGGCTTTGCGGTCGTGGAATTTCTAACATATGTTTTGGAAGTGTATCTGAGTCTCTTTGGTTTCTGATTGTTATTTATATAGTTTTTGTTCTGTTATTTATGATAGTCCTGTTTCTCCTCTTTATTTATCTTCCTTCATCAGTTTTACATTTAAATTTATTTATATCTTCCTTGGTCAATTTCTGTTCTATAGCCTATATTTATATCTCGTTTATTTGTTTTGTTCGTTATTGTACTAATTCTTGTTCAACTCTTGACTCACCGCTTGTAACAGTGGCGCTACTGTACTCGATCCTTCATATTCTGCGTTTTTCGCTGTCTCGCTTGAAATATCCGGGACCTGAACCTGGGACCGTTAAGTTAGTTCCCTTACAGCGTTACATTAGCAATCACTACGTTTATGCTTGTCATTAAAATGACGGTTATGTAATTGAGTATTCGAACAGAAGTGGCCTAACCTGTAATTTCTTTAATCGCTGGTTGCACGTTCCATTATTCTTAGTCACCATACGCAAAATTATGATTATTTTCGGGGGGGTGGGGATCTGAGAAGTAAATATTTAACTTAAAAATAATAGGCTATGTTGACTTGCAAAGACAGCGTTATTTATTTTGATTAGATATGAAAAGCGATGTCTATAATTAGACACTGAGCCATACAAAGGTTGATATCGAAATTATTCTTCGTAAGACATCGCAATAATAATTTACATTTATAAATTATACCCTCCCTTACCCATTCGGTACTGAGTTAAGAACGGTCGGAGCGCGAAGCTGACCACTCGTGTTCATCTAGAATGCGGAAGGACTTTACTCCATGGCGGGGTCGTTGCCCCGCGCAACATAACACTTTCATCTTTACGTTACAAAACTTGATCATTGCAGATTTTAATATGCTTCGTATTCGGAAGGTTCTGGGCTCGAATCTCGGGTTAAAAACCAGCAAAACATCGTTGATTTCTTCAAAATGTGTCCACGTATACCATTCACAGCGACTGGCAGCATTGTGGTAATGTTCTGTTTTCGCCTCAGCATCGTCTTATGATGACTTGTCAAAGGGGGTGGAGGTCTTGATCCACCATATCTTAACATCAGTACACCTTCAGCCCCAGGCCTTCGGTGTTACGTTATGTAGGACACTGGATGGGACCCAGCACCGTTGTAGACATGACGACAAAGAGAATATATACCTTCTTTGTCACCCTGGTCACCTGGGACGGAGTTAGTAGATTTATTGACCGAGCTGTTCTATTAAGACATCGTTACATAACACGAGAATCGTGTTGAATTCTGGCAAAATGTGGCGATTTGTGTACTATTTTGGATTTCGAAGTTTTCATCCGTAAATCAGTGATATGTTTTGTTGTCTGTATGAACACGGAGAAGCGTTGGTATTTATCTCTTCTGCGTTTTATAGCTGTTTTGATCTTTAGGTAGATGTCAGAGTTTTATAGGAACATTCCACCTCCATCTTTAGACGTATTCTTCGGAAACTTTGGTATCATGGACGTATTTAACGCTGTGTGAACCTCAGATCCCATTTAGAACCCTTGGAACGTCTCAGGTCCTGTGTGGGACCTCCCCAAACGTGTTTGCTATTCTTTTAAAGGTTTGAAACTTTGTCGCTGTTGGGAACGTTGCTCTTGGAGGTGAATCACCCCCAGAAAATAAGGATTGTGTTAGTGCATGGACCAATGTCAGGTTAAAATTTTGGAGGTTAAGGTTAGGGCCACTGCCAAGAAGGGAACGGAAGAGAAGCCAGCGACGAGTTGGCATTGCGCTAGACGTGGACTGTACTTCCTTGACGCAGCCCAGTGGCCGGCTAATGCAATAGGCCACTGGGCCAACCCCTTGCGCCTGTCTGCCAAGTGGCACAATCACAATAAATGTTTGGCTCCAGTTGAGGAAGGCGCTCGCTGGCCTCCCCGGGGGAAACAGATCATTACGGAGTGCCTACGTAAAAGGGAAACGATAAAACACTATCAAGTTGTACGCCACACGACCGTCCCACACTCCCCGACGGCGTTGGCAGACGCGGGATTTGGCAGATGGGTTGATGAATGAAAACACATCACATGGAAGTGTTTACAAGGTAGTGCAGTGACTTCGGCTGGAACGCTGCGTGTTTTCGTCTTGAGGGACTCCCAAGTGCGGAGCGCGTCGAGGGTAAGGTTAGGTTAGGTTGGCAGTTGTCTTGTTTTCACGCTGTATCGTTCATCGGTGTCACCACAGTCATCGAAATTAAAGACTTTATTTGTAAGAAGATTTTTTCCAGTATTAAAGGTGTTTGGGATAAAAATGTTGAGGAGAATATTTGGTCCTACTTACGATGAATCAACAGGTTAGAGGAGAACTTACTCTTGACTTATTATTGTTGAGGCAATTGAATTAATTAGGATTATATGGACAGGACATTAATATGCGTGCGGGAGAGATGTTAAATGCGTTAAAAAATTTCGTCGGGAAACCTGATTACCTTTGAGATGTAATCATAGGTGGAAGATTAATATTAAAATGAATCCTAGAGAAAGTTTAACTGCTAGCGTTCTACGCGGTCAGGTTAGAGCAGTGGTATTCTACCTTTTTTGTTCGCGTACCCCAAGATATAATTTCTCTTCAACTTTCTACCCCCAAACTTGTTGGTTTATAATTCAAGTTATACGTAGTATATAATCTACATCTAAAATAAATTAAACAAATTACTGATTATTCAGTGTTTGTCATAAAATATATTTTTAAAAAAAATTTCACGTACCCCCTAAGATGTCTTCGCGTACCCCCAGATAGAATTTCTCTTCAATTTTGTACCCTTAAAGTTATTGGTGTATAATTCAAGTTATGCATAGTATATAATCTACATCTAAAATAAATTAAGTAAATTACATTACTGATTATTCAGTGTTTATCATGAAATAATATATTTTTTTTAAATTTCACGTACCCCAGGTTGAATACCACTGGGTTAGAGGGTTAGTGTATAAAGTACTCAGTTACTTCAAGCGTTAAGCAGACGCTGTTTGTGTGCACCGGCTTCCTTTATTTATGATTTTAGTAATGAATGTGGACTCTGTTTCAATTTCAGGATGAATTCCATCCTTTCATTGAAGCCTTACTGCCGTATGTGAAGTCCTTCTCGTACACGTGGTTCAATCTGCAGGCGGCAAAACGGAAGTACTTTAAGAAACACGAGAAACGCATGTCATTGGAGGAGGAAAGGCGGTGCAAAGAGGAATTGCAGGTGAGTGACACTTGTTTCGATTTATAAGTACAGGCATACCTCGGATATATTGCGGTCTCGGTCCCAGACCACCGCAATAAAGCGAATCCGACGATTTTTTGTTTTTGTTTCCCAGTGCATGTAAAAGTTATATTTACACTATAATGTAGTATATTAAGTGTGCAATAGCATTATGTCTAAAAAAAACAATGCGAGAATTACTAAAATGTGACACAGAGACACGAAGTGAGCACGTGATGTTGGAAAAATGGCGCCGATAGACTTGCTCGACGCAGGGTTGCCACAAACGTTCTATTTGTATAAAAAAAACAACTGCGAAGCGCAATCTCTTCGAAACTGTCTTAAGTTAAGACTGTCCAAATAAGAGACGATCGTATTGCGCCTTAGGACAAACTATTCTTTGTTTATGCCCGAAACTTACGAGTCCTTTGTGTTAGAAGGATTAACGTTAGATAAATAAGTATGTGATATAGATCTGTAGTCCTGTATTACGTAAAGAGATTATGAATTGTATTGTATTGTGATCATGGCACGTGTGTGTGACTTAAATCGATTTTAAGGCTTGTGAAACGTCACTGGGTCACTGGATGTAATAATTTTTTATCTTCAAATAAAGTAATTATATTCATACAAAAATTTTGATTTTGATTTAAGGCGTTTATTTTGAAATCATTTACTGGAGTTGGATATGTTTTGGAGTACCTTATGTTAAATAAAGTAATTTGTCGATGATTTACGTAGTAGATCTAATAAGAACGTACGAGAATCTTGGTAGGATTTGAGGTTTTCATGGTGGTGTGTCCGAAGGTGGACATATTCTGGGGTGTTGCGCCCTGTGGCCTAGAAGAAGGAGGACTTATACCGGACTGAACACACGTTTTCGTCTTTAAATTTGTGATGTCGGGTTCATATTCCGCTTGGGACATGGATTTCTGTACTCTTAACTTCTGTGTTGTCTAAGTAGAGGCCTTGCGTTGGGCCAATCCGTCATCTGAGGAGTTCTTCTGAATAAACGGAACTAGACTTTTCTTTATACAAATAATAAATTTAAATGATTTAGACTATGATTTAAGACGGCTATTAATTTGGCGACCGTGCTGTAAGGAATAAGTGTTGAAGATTCCAAAAGCTGACTGTTTTGTGGTTGTTGAGAAATCCCTGTCGTGCATCGAATACCACCGATCGACAAGTGAGTTCCAGCACGAGTCTCCAGAGACGGTGAAGAAAGGTAGCACGTGTCCTGGTTGTATACAGTCACTCGCTTAGCGGTACGTTCAAAGACAGGTGTGACATAGCTGAAAGCAATATTTTGATCTTTAGCATGGCTGAATGGACGTTTTATCTTCACCACGTCTAAAATTTCTACAACTTTTGGTGGCCTTAACTGAAAATTAGCTAGTATTATTATCATTTCATTATAATCGCGCTGTGTTTTCATGTAGAACGTGGATAATTCAGTCAGAATAGTCTACTCGCAGGTGCCATGAGAGTAGGTACCCTTAAGCCTTTCTCTTGATGTCTGAGACAGTATCATCCGAAACGTCGTATAAACTTATTCTCACAGCCAGGAGTAAGCAATGTCACACAGATGTTCAGTTTGTTAATTTACGTTTCTACACGGCCCCTCAACGATTCTTAATACGACAAAGGAAGATATCTGTTCTCTGTGATGTTGGGGCTTGTAGATGTTTGCCAGAATTTTAGAGATGCTTACTGCGTCCATCTTCAGGGCGAAATTAAACATCAGACAGCCATTTTTATACTCACGAAAGGAGATGAATTTGTCAGTGTGAGGCACGTATCAGAGAGATGATAATTGCATTCAAGATTTTAGTCCGAAGAAAATCTACTTCTTTAGAGACATATTCGTATATTGGAGGATAATATTAAAGTGGTTTTAATGATGTGGACTGATTTATGTGACTCAGGATAAAGCTGTATTGAACATCGTAATGGATTTGTGAAGTTCTTTGACTAGTTAAGTACGCATTAGCTTTTGAAGAATAACTTAGCTGTATGGACATGTTTAATTATAATGTTTAAAGTTTATTACATTCCATAATATTCATAAGTTTTAATGCGCCGTACCTCGACACCCACTGTAGGCTGTCTCCTCATTCGATCCAGGAACTTCGTGGCCGTGTGCTGTATTCACGTAGAACGAGTATGTGAATATTTAGCTTTCTAATGTGACTTCTATCATTTATCATTATCATACACCAGACAATATGACGGCGCCAGAAAGACTGGATTTACAGCTGCCATTTCGCTTTCACGTCTTCAGCTCATAGTAAAAATTCTCGTACAACCTACGAGACTTTAATTTATGCTGTTTGTGAGTTAATTTTTAGTTTTTGCAAAGTAGCAAGCGAATATTTATCTGGAGGAACATGTAATTGGTAGATTATGAGCTGACTGCTTTCATGCGAAGGTGGACATATTCTGGGGTGTTGCGCCCTGTGGCCTAGAAGAAGGAGGACTTATACCGGACTGAACACACGTTTTCGTCTTTAAATTTGTGATGTCGGGTTCATATTCCGCTTGGGACATGGATTTCTGTACTCTTAACTTCTGTGTTGTCTAAGTAGAGGCCTTGCGTTGGGCCAATCCGTCATCTGAGGAGTTCTTCTGAATAAACGGAACTAGACTTTTCTTTATACAAATAATAAATTTAAATGATTTAGACTATGATTTAAGACGGCTATTAATTTGGCGACCGTGCTGTAAGGAATAAGTGTTGAAGATTCCAAAAGCTGACTGTTTTGTGGTTGTTGAGAAATCCCTGTCGTGCATCGAATACCACCGATCGACAAGTGAGTTCCAGCACGAGTCTCCAGAGACGGTGAAGAAAGGTAGCACGTGTCCTGGTTGTATACAGTCACTCGCTTAGCGGTACGTTCAAAGACAGGTGTGACATAGCTGAAAGCAATATTTTGATCTTTAGCATGGCTGAATGGACGTTTTATCTTCACCACGTCTAAAATTTCTACAACTTTTGGTGGCCTTAACTGAAAATTAGCTAGTATTATTATCATTTCATTATAATCGCGCTGTGTTTTCATGTAGAACGTGGATAATTCAGTCAGAATAGTCTACTCGCAGGTGCCATGAGAGTAGGTACCCTTAAGCCTTTCTCTTGATGTCTGAGACAGTATCATCCGAAACGTCGTATAAACTTATTCTCACAGCCAGGAGTAAGCAATGTCACACAGATGTTCAGTTTGTTAATTTACGTTTCTACACGGCCCCTCAACGATTCTTAATACGACAAAGGAAGATATCTGTTCTCTGTGATGTTGGGGCTTGTAGATGTTTGCCAGAATTTTAGAGATGCTTACTGCGTCCATCTTCAGGGCGAAATTAAACATCAGACAGCCATTTTTATACTCACGAAAGGAGATGAATTTGTCAGTGTGAGGCACGTATCAGAGAGATGATAATTGCATTCAAGATTTTAGTCCGAAGAAAATCTACTTCTTTAGAGACATATTCGTATATTGGAGGATAATATTAAAGTGGTTTTAATGATGTGGACTGATTTATGTGACTCAGGATAAAGCTGTATTGAACATCGTAATGGATTTGTGAAGTTCTTTGACTAGTTAAGTACGCATTAGCTTTTGAAGAATAACTTAGCTGTATGGACATGTTTAATTATAATGTTTAAAGTTTATTACATTCCATAATATTCATAAGTTTTAATGCGCCGTACCTCGACACCCACTGTAGGCTGTCTCCTCATTCGATCCAGGAACTTCGTGGCCGTGTGCTGTATTCACGTAGAACGAGTATGTGAATATTTAGCTTTCTAATGTGACTTCTATCATTTATCATTATCATACACCAGACAATATGACGGCGCCAGAAAGACTGGATTTACAGCTGCCATTTCGCTTTCACGTCTTCAGCTCATAGTAAAAATTCTCGTACAACCTACGAGACTTTAATTTATGCTGTTTGTGAGTTAATTTTTAGTTTTTGCAAAGTAGCAAGCGAATATTTATCTGGAGGAACATGTAATTGGTAGATTATGAGCTGACTGCTTTCATGATGGGTGTCAGACACAATAAGGCCTTGACTCCCACAGGAAAGTTCGTGATGTTCGCTA